GACCCAGATATCTGATTTGGGCTGATCCCCGTGCCTTGCAGGCCAATCTCGATAAATCTTGGAGACAGAGTGCCCCAAAACCCAATCAGCTCAGAGATGCCACCTTCTCAGCAAGCTCAGTGATTTCAGCTCTTTAGTGATTCTCAGCTCCCTCAGGATTTCAGCTATTTAGTGATTTCAGCTCTTTCGTGATTATCAACTCTCTCAGGATCTCAGCTCTTTCGTGATTCTCAGCTCTCAGGATCCCAGCTCTTTGCTCATTCGCTGGGGCGCCTTTGGCTGTGGCAGAACCAGACGGACAGGAGAGGTCCTGGTGGTTCCACAGCCATGGTTCATTGAGGGATCTGTGAGGTGTTGAAGTGACAGCTCTTCTCCTGTCAGATGGGCTAAACCAGCCCCTTTTATAGGGTACAGGGGGATCCAAACATGTGCAACAGTGAGGGTCAGGGAGAAGTCACCAATGGGGTTAGAGAGAGAAGCTCTGGTGTGAGAGGCAGAAGACAGGAGATCATTTTGCTGTTCCATCATGGCTGAGCAGTTCCAGCTGTTACGTCTCAATCCTGCATGGAAGTCTCGCAATCTCTGCGGACTCTGCTAAAGGACATGGGGTCAACACGATAGGCAACAGTCTCCCAGCCAGTACCATCCTCCACAGATTTGGCGCAGAAATACGATCCGGAATCCTCAAACTTGAGGTTGTTCATGGTCAGCGTCACCGATCTCTGCCTGTTGTCCCTGGAGATCGTGAACCGGCCCTTGACAGACGGCGCATAGGCAGTGGTGCCACCACTGGTGATCCCCGTAAACCACTCCAGCGCCTGTCGGGGTCTCTGGCGGATGCAGAGCATGGTGGAACTGCCAAAACTGAACCCGGACCCTCGGCAGAGGAGGCGCAGGGATGCCCCGGGGAGCTGGAGGTCCCCCCCACAGCAGGGTAACGCCCACCCGGAGCCCTGCGGGACAAAGGGGAGATGGGGACGGGAAACCGGATTGGTCAAGAGTGCCCAACTTCACATGGCATGCTTCAAAAATGGAGCAGGACTCACATGGGTGGAGGATGATGAACTCCATGGTTCCCAGTTTGGCGCCCAGAGTCAGGATTTGGGTCAAGGGTTGAGCTTTGGCCCCATCCCCATCGGCCTTTGTCCCGCAGGGCTCCGGGCGGCCGTGACCCTGCTGGAGTGCGGGGGGACCTGCAGCCCCCCGGGGGGTCCCTGACGTTTCTGTGCCGCGCATCTGCGTTTTATTTTGGCAGTTTTGGGATGGGCTGGATGCGCCAGAGACCCGGGCAGACGCTGGAATACATCGCCAGTATCAGCAACACTGGTGGTTGCACCTACTACACGCCTTCGGTCAAGGGCCGGTTCAGAATCTCCAGGGACACCGGGCAGAGCTCGGTGACGCTGACCATGAACAACCTCAAGGACGAGGATTCCACCGTTTATTTCTGCACCAAATGCGCTAGTAGTAGTTATGGTGGTAGTATTGCTGCTTTTAGTGACAATTCCGGCAGCGGCCCCAGCCCTAGGATGGTCACCAGATGTCTCCACTCCCAGTGATCCTTCCTCCAGAGCCCAGCTTTTCTCCTCAAGTGTTAAAGAGTTTCCCCCAAACTCCGCCCCTGCTGCCTCAACCCTACACTTTCCCCCAGTTTTGCCCATTTCACCCAAATCTCCCCAAGCTCCCTGGGCCCTGATTGGAGGAGGCCTGAACTGGAGGCCAGGTGTCAATGTTTGGGGCCAATGGTTGACATTTGGGGCAGGAGCAGGGGAGGGTTTGGGGTCAGTGCTGACCATTGGTGCAAATGAGGACAAAGGGTTAAGATCTGAGTCAATGGGTGAGGTTTGGGAGAATGGTCAGAGGGTTGGGGACATCTGGGGACCCAACAACAAAGGCCGGCCTGAAACCGGCACCAATACCATAAGCTTCGTAATTACAACCAGCAAAATAACACTTCGCACAGAAATAGATGGCAGAATCCTCATCCTTGAGGTTGTTCATGGTCAGCATCACCGAGCTCTGCCCGTTGTCCCTGGAGATCGTGAACCGCCCCTGCACTCACGGCGCATAGTAGGGGTAAGCAGCAGTGCTGATCACCGCGAGCAACTCCAGCCCCTGCCTGGGTCTCTGTCAGACCCAGAGCAGGTCAGAACTGCTGAAACTTAACCAGGACCCTCGGCACAGCAACGTCAGGGACCCCCTGGGGTCTGGAGATCTCCCCCGCACTCCAGCAGGGTCACGGCCCCTAGGAGCCCTGCAGGACAAAGGGGAGATGGGGATGAGGCCAAAGATCAACCCTTGACCCTAATGTCCCAACTATCGGCCTCAGGTTGTGACAATTTGTTTTTCTCCTCCTACTCCTGGTCACCCTCCCAGGTGGGTCCCGTCCCTTTCTCCAGCTGGCCACACCCACTTTGGGTCCTCAGCCAATCAGGTTTCTCATCCCCATCTCCCCTTTGTCCTGCAGGGCTCTGGGCGGCCGTGACCCTGCTGGCGTGCGGGGGGCACCTCCAGCCCCCCCGGGGGTCCCTGCGCCTCCTCTGCCGTGGGTCCGGGTTCGATTTTGGGAGTTTTGGGATGGGCTGGTATCGACAGACACCAAAGAATGCACTGGAATGGCTCGCAAGTATCACCAGCAATGGTGGCAGCACCTGGTACGCGCCATCAGTCAAGGGCCGGTTCACGATCTCCAGGGACAACGGGCAGAGCTCAGTGACGCTGACCATGACCAACCTCAAGGACGAGGATTCCGCCGTCTATTTCTGCGGGAAATCTTACAATACTGGTGGTCCTGGTGCTGCTGCTCATGGGGACCTGCGAAGTCCTGGTCTCACCCTCATCACTGCACCCCCTCCTGTCCCCATTCCCCAGACCCTTGCCCAGCTCCCAGCCCCTGACCCAGCCCATGACCATTTCTCCATTTCCCTTTCCCCTCTCCGGCCCCAAACCCCAACCCTTGGCCATTGATCTTCCCCCAAACTCTGCCCCAAAGGTCAGCGCTGGGCCGGGGCTGTGGACACGAATTCAGTCACCGAGAGCGGGGACGAGGGCTGGTATCTGGGGGGAGGGTCTGTGGTTTGTGGACAATTAGGGACGCAACAAAGGGGGCAGGGCTAAATGCTCCATAACCAGCACCAACAGAGTCACTACGATCAGCAACAACAGCATTATAACCCTCAGGAGTTTTGGCGCAGAAATAGGATTTGGAATCCTCATCCTTGTGGTTGTTCATGGTCAGCGTCACCAACTCTGCCCGTTGTCCCTGGAGATGCTACTCGGCCGCTGAACGATGACGGGTATCTGGTGTATCCATCATAGTCAATCCCTGCAATGTATTCCAGGCCCTGCCCAGGTCTCTGGCGGGTCCACATCAGACTGGTTCGTTCAAAACTGAGCCCGGACCGTTGGCAGAGGAGGCGCAGGGACCCCCCGGGGGGCTGGAGGTCTGCCCCTCACTCCAGCAGGGTCACAGCCGGCCGGAGCCCGGCGGGACAAAAGGGAGATGACTGAAATCGAAAGTCTGATTGGTGTAGGGCTTTTAAGTGGGCGTGGCCAGCTGGACAAAGGGGTAGAACACTCCTGGGAGGAGGATGATGAACTCCAAGAATCCCAATATGGGGCCCAGAGTCAGGACTTGGGTCAATGCTGAGCTTTGCTCTCATCCCCATCTCCCCTCTGTCCCGCAAGGCTCCGGGCAGCCGTGACCCTGCTGGAGGGCAGGGGGTACCACCAGCCCCCCGGGTGGTCCCTGACGTTGCTGTGCCGAGGGTCCGGGTTAAATTTTGGGAGTTATGGAATGTACTGGATCTGCTAGAGACCTGGGCAGGGTTTGGAATACGTTGCAGGCATCTACAAAACTGGTGGCACCACATTCTAAAATCCATCGGTCAAGGGCCAGTTCAGGATCTCCAGGGAGAACGGGCAGAGCTCGGTGACGCTGACCATGAACAACCTCAAGGACGAGGATTCCGCCACCTATGTCTGTGCAAAGAGTGCTGGTGCTGCTTGGGCTGAAAGTGCTCATCCTATTGACGATGGCCTTGCTGTCCCCATCCCCCTCTCTGTGTCCCCCCCTGTCTCCGTTGCCCAGACCCTTCACCCAAACCCCCAGCCCACACCCAGCCCTTGACCATTGATCCCAACCTTGCTCTGCCTCGGCCCCAATTCTCACCCGCTGACCCCAAACCACAACTCCGGACCCAAATCTCCTCTTTGTGCCCCAAAACCTTGTTATAAAAGTGGATACTTCAAGCCAAGGGTTAAGGTTTGAGTCAACTTTGTGGTAAGGTGCAGAGAGCGGATTTCAGGCCGAACCACTCCAAGATTAGGACATGGGGACAGCAATGGGGTCCAGGCTTGGGGTTTTGGGGAAGGGTCCAGAGAATGGAGATAGGTGGGGACCAGGGAACAGGAACACAGCCAAATGCAACCGAAACATGAAAGTGACCAATACCTGCAGCACTACCAACAACACTTCTGCCACAGAAATAGTATCCGGAATCCTCATCCTTGTGGTTGTTCATGGTCAGCGTCACCGAGCTCTGCCCGTTGTCCCTGGAGATTGTGACCCGGCCCTTGACTGAATCCGCGTACCTGGTGCGGCCACCATCGTTGCTGACACTTGCGACTGCTTCCAGCCCCTGCCCGGGTCTCTGCCGATACCAGCTCATGTTAAAACCACTGAAACTGAACCCGGACCCTCGGCAGAGGAGGCGCAGGGAACCCCCGGGGGGCTGGAGGTCCCCCCCGCTCTCCAGCAAGGTCACGGCCGCCCAGAGCCCTGCGGGACATCGGGCAGATGATGGAAACGACAAATCTGATTGGTCCAGAACGAGAAAAGGGGCATGGCTTGCAGAAAAAAGGGGCAGGACCCACGTAAGACGGCAGCCAGGATGAGGATGTGGTGGCAGAGGTGTCAAAATTTGGGGCCAAGAGTCAGGATTTGGGTCAAGGGTTGAGCTTTGGCCTCATCCCCATCTCACCTTTGTCCCGCAGGGCTCCGGGCGGCCGTGACCCTGCTGGAGTGCGGGGGGGACCTCCAGCCCCCCGGGGGGTCCCTGCGCGTCCTCTGCCGAGGGTCCGGGTTCAGTTTTGGCAGTTTTGACATGGAATGGATCGGCCAGAGACCCGGGCAGGGGCTGGAATTCTTTGCCTACTTCAGCAACACTGGTGGTTACACCTACTACGCGCCATCGGTCAAGGGCCGGTTCAGGATCTCCAGGGACAATGGGCAGAGCTCGGTGACGCTGACCATGAACAACCTCAAGGACGAGGATTCCGCCGTTTATTTCTGTGCCAAATCTGCTTATGCTGGTGCAGCTGCTGCTTATATTGACCATGCCGGTTTTGGCATCACCCCTGTCTGAGCGTTTTGGCATCATCCCTGTCTAAGGGGACATGGGGAACAGAAACCTGATTGGTCAAGAGGGCCCACGTTGGCATGGCACACTTGAAAAAGTGGTGGGACGCCTGTGAGAGGAGGATGATGAACTCCAAGGGTCCCAGTTTGGGGCCAAGAGTCAGGATTTAGGTCAAGAGTTGAGCTTTGGCCACATCCCCATCTCCCCTTTGTCCCGCAGGGCTCCAGGCAGCCGTGACCCTGCCGGAGTGCGGGGGGCACCTCCAGCCCCCCAGGGGGTCCCTGTGCCTCCTCTGCCGAGGGTCCGGGTTCGATTTGGGACAAACCAGTTTTATTTGGGTTCGCGAGGGGCCTGGGCAGGTGCTGGAAGGGGTTGTGCGGATTGACTACGATGGAGACACCTACTACGGGGATACAGTCAAGGGCTGGGTCGCGATCTCCAGGTACAATGGGCAGAGCTTGGTGACGCTGACCATGAACAACCTCAAGGACAAGGATTCTGGATGCTATTTCTGTGGCAAAGCTCCAGAAGGAAAATATGCTCTAGGTGCTGTTGATGGTTTTGACCCCATCCCCATGGCTGTGTCCCCACCTGTACCAGTTCCCCAGACCCTTCTCGCAAACTCTGCCCCTGATGCCATTTCTGACCCCATCTCCCAACCCTGTCCTGACTCTACCCCAAATTCTCCACTCTTGGCCACACACTTGACTGAAATCTTAACCCATGACCAGAAGTATCCACTTTCAGAATCAAGTTTTGGGGCACAAAGAGGAGATTTGGGGTCAGGAGTTGTGGTTTTGGGTCAGTGGGTGAGAACTGGGGCCGAGGCAGAGCAAGGTTGGGATCAATGGTCAAGGGATGGGTGTGGGCTGGGGGTTTGGGGAAAGGGTCTGGGGAACGGGGACAGGGGGGGACACAGGGATGGGAACAGCACGAGCACCCTCAATATAATCAGCAGGAGCAGCACCACCACCACCAGGAGCTTTGGCACAGACATAGGTGGCGGAATCGTCGTCCTTGAGGTTGTTCATGGTCAGTGTCACCGAGCTCTGCCCGTTTTCCCTGGAGATCGTGACCCGGCCCTTGACCGATGGTGTAACCTCCACTGTCACTGATCCTTGCGATGTACTTCAGCCCCTGTCCAGGCCCCTGTCGATACCAGCCCATCCCAAAACTGCCGAAACTTAACCCAGACCCTCGGCAGAGGAGGCGCAGGGACACCCCGGGGGGCTGGAGGTCCCCCCCGCACTCCAGCAGGGTCACAGCTTCCCAGAGCCCATCTCCAAAACCTCACCAATTTCACTTATAACTCCCCTGGTTCGGTCCCAAATCTCCACCCGAGGCTTTGGGTATCCTGAAGTTCCTCAAAATCTGGAATGAAACTCAATATTGTCATTAATTAATTGGACACCTTCTCCTCAGGGTTCCACATTGATTTCAAAAGTAATACCACGTTAACAACGCCCAAACCCCCCCGGGACCCCTACCCCGGCACATCCCGGCCTTGGCTTTGAGCTCCCCCTGGCTCCAGGTCCTGCTGCTCCTGCTGGCTCTCCCAGGTGGGCTCCGCCCTTTTTTACACAAGCCACACCCCTTTCCCCCTTCTGGGCCAATCATAATTCTCATTTTTAATCATCTCCCCTTTGTCCCGCAGGGCTTCAGGCGGCCGTGACCCTGCTGGAGTGCGGGGGGCACCTCCAGCCCACCGGGGGATCCCTGCGCCTCCTCTGCTGAGGGTCCGGGTTCAGTTTCAGGACTTTTGAAATGGATTGGGTTCGTCAGAGACCCGGGCAGGGGCTGCAATGGGTCACGGGGATAAGGTACGATGGTGGCAGCACCTGGTACGCGGATTCTGTCAAGGGCCGGTTCACGATCTCCAGGGACAACGGGCAGAGCTCGGTGACGCTGACCATGAACAACCTCAAGGACGAGGATTCCGGATCCTATTTCTGTGCCAATGTGCTTTTACATCTGATGCTGGTTGGGGTGCTGCTGCTTTTGTTAATCATTTTCTTCCTGTCCCCGTGCCCCAGACCCTTCCCTCCAACCCCTGACCTCACTCCTGAGCCTTAGTCCCAACCTTGCCCTGCTCTAGCCCCAAATCTCAGCTCTTGGCCCCAAATCAGGACCGGTTTCACCCTGAGCTCAGCCTCGTCCCTTCAATCCCAACCATTGCCCCCAGACTTGTCCAGTTTTACCCCAAATCTCCCCTGCGGGCACCAAGTCACAGCCACCGACCGAAATCTGGCCCATTAGCCTCACATAAGGAATTTCAGGCAAAAATTTGAATTTTTGACTCCTGACCTTAACTTTGGCCCCAAATTTTGAAAAACTGAATGCAATTTGAGAAACGAGGGCACTGAGTGTGGCCCAGAGGGGACATTTGGGGCAGAGCCGGAGCAGGGCTTGGACAGAGGGTGAGGAATGGGGTCAGGGGTTGGGGTTTGGGGGAAGGGTCTGGGGAATGGGGCACGACCATGGGGGAGGAGCCAATAGCATACGCAGTATTAGCACCAGCATCAGCACCAGCACCCTTGGCACAGAAATAGGATCCGAAATCCTTGTCCTTGAGGTTGTTCATGGTCAGCGTCACGGAGCTCTGCCTGTTGGCCGTGGGGATCGTGAACGGGCCCTTGACGGACGGCACGAAGGTGGTGCTGGAACCACTGCTGTAGATGCCTGGGAGCCATTCCAGCCCCTGCCCGGGTCTCTGGAGGATGCAGAGCATGTCAGAGCTGCCGAAACTGAACCCGGACCCTCGGCAGAGGAGGTGCAGGGAGCCCCCGGGGGGCTGGAGGTGCCCCCCGCACTTCAGCAGGGTCACGGCCACCCGGAGCCCTGCAGGACAAAGGGGAGATGGGGAGGAGGAGCTGGATTGGCTGTGGACCCAACGTGGGCACGGCCATGCCAGAAGAAGGATGTGGGATCCACCTGGGAGGATTGGTAGGTGCTGCAGGAGGAGGATGGTGAGGTCCAAGGGTCCCAATTTGTGGCCAGAATCAGGATCTGCATGGAAGAATCAATATTTGGGTAGCTTTTTATCCCCATCCCCATCTCCCCTTTGTCCCGCAGGGCTCCGGGCAGCCGTGACCCTGCTGGAGTGCGGGGGGGACCTCCAGCCCCCCGGGGAATCCCTGCGCCTCCTCTGCCGAGGGTCCGGGTTCGATTTTGGGAAATTCGGGCTCGGCTGGGTTCGCCAGAGACCCGGGCAGGGGCTGGAGTGGGTCACAGCGATAGACAGTGATGGATACAACTGGTACCCACCCGCGTTCAATGACCGTATCACGATCTCCAGGGACAACGGGCAGAGCTTAGTGAGGCTGACCATGAACAACCTCAAGGACGAGGATTCCGGATCCTATTTCTGTGCGAAATGTGCTTATGGTGGGTGGATTGATGGTCCTGCTGCTGTTGAAACTTTACATGGCATTGCCTGCCCCCCTTCCCCCCTGTCCCCATTCCCCAGAGCCTTCCCCCAAACCCCAACCCCTGACCCCATTCCTGACCTGTCACAGAGATTTTTTCATAAAATCCTTTCTTTTAGGATTTGTCCTTTCTGGGATGCCGGGGCCCCAGAAGAAAAATGTAAACAATAATTATCTGCTGGTGTGGAATGTAATAGAAGCATCTGTGATTGGTCCTCCGTGAGTGTTTCGATTTGCTGACCACTCACGGGAGAGTTTGTCCTTTCTTTCTGCTGGACACAGAACTTTGTTATTTTCTTCTTTCCTATGCTATTCTTAGCTTAGCAGCTTCTGCAACTTCGCTCTTTATTCCTTTTAGTATAGTTATAATGTATTATATATCATATATCAATAAATCCAGCCATCCGATCATGAACCAAGATTCTCGTCCACTTCTCTCACCCTGAAGACCTTCATCAGGTCGCTGTAATAGCTGACCGTGAACAACCTCAAGGACGACAATTCCAGATTCTATTTCTGTGCCAAATGAGTTACTAGTAGTTGTGGTGGTGGTGTTGCTGCCTTTAGTGACAATCCTGGCAGTGGTCCCAACCCCCATGGTGGTCACCAAATGTCTGCAATCCCCACAGATCCTTCCCCAAATCACAGATCTTCTCCTCAAATCTTCACCATTTTTCCCCAAACTCTGCACCAGCTGCACCAACTGTCGACTTTCCCCCAGTTTTGGGCATTTCAGCCAAATCTCCCCCATCTCCCTGGCTGAGCTGGCACGGGCAGAAATGGGAACTCTTGAAGAGCAAGGCCTGAATTGGAGGCCAGGGGTGAAGGTTCGGGGCCAATGGTTGTGTTTTGGGGCAGGAGCAGGGGAGGGTTTGGGGTCTGTGGTGTTATTGGGGCAAATGGGGACAAAGGGTCAAGGGCCGGGTCAATGGGTGAGGTTTGGTATGAAAATCACAGCTCTGGGGTTTCAATGGTGGGAGTCAGAAGAAAGGAAGGAGCTTCACACCATCAGGGACACCGTAACCATTAGCAGCAGCACCATAACCATCAGCAGCCCTGGCACAGAAATAGGATCCGGAATCCTCGTCCTTGAGGTTGTTCATGGTCAGAGTCACCGAGCTCTGCCCATTTTCCCTGGAGATCGTGACCCGGCCCTGCACCGACGGCGCGGAGTCCGTGCTGCCACCACTGCTGCTGAACCCCGCAATATATTCCCGCCCCTGCCCTGGTCTCTGGCGGACCCAGTGCATCCCAACACTGCCAAAACTGAACCCAGACCCTCGGCAGAGGAGGCGCAGGGACCCCCCGGGGGGCTGGAGGTCCCCCCCACACTCCAGAAGGGTCACGGCCGCCCAGAGCCCTGTGGGACAAAGGGGAGAAGTGTGGAGAGCTTTGTGGACAGCTGGTTGGCTGTTAAGGTCACGTCGACATAATGCCGCTGGTTAAGCTTGAAGGGGACAAGTACAGGAGCCAGCAGCCAATGTCCAATGACAGGCAAGGACATTGTGCCCTTGGTGCCACAGCAGGATAGGGGAGAGCATCTTTGGAAGGAATACGAAGAGAAGTTTCAATAAAATATCC